ACGATGAAATTCACTTGGTAATTCCAGTTCCAATATAACAGCTCTTACAATAATTTCATTCCAGAAGCCTGCACACAAGTTCACAGTTCACTCACCACTGAAATGCAGCATGCTCAGGGGTGGAACACAGCAGCATTCCGACAGTGCATAGCAAAACTATGTAACAGCTGGGGACGTGTATTGATACTGTATCTAGCAGAAACTTCAGAAGTAATTTAACTGCTGTGGGCAGAATATAATTAGCCATGTAGATACACTGGTGAGTAGAGTTACAGTTCAGAGTGACCTTGGCAAATTGGGCAATTGGGCCAAAAGAAATCTGATGAGATTCAACAAGGACAAGTGCAGAGTCCTGCACTTAGAACTGAAGAATCCCATGCACTGCTTGGGCTGGAGACCAACTGGCTAAGTAGCAATTCTGCAGAAAAACGTGGGGATTACAGTGGATGAGAAGCTGGATATGAGTTAACTGTTGCCAAGAAGGCTAATGGTATATTGGGCTGCATTAGTATGAAGATTGGCAGCAGATGGGGTTCCAGACTGCTGCTGCTGTGGCAGCAGCTGAAGCTCCAGGCATTTTAAATCACTGTCAAAGCGCCATGCAATGTGCTCCAGGAGGCTTGTAGGGCTGTCTGGGGAGGACGGTGCACAGTGTAGTGTGCTCTGGGCAGTGCTGAAGACTGGCTGCCCCGATCTTGCCAGTTCTATCTGAGGCCCTGCCCCTTCCAGAAACAGGGAGCCGCAACCACCCACACACCTAACCCAGGGACCTGGCAATGGCAAGTCTGTGGGCATTCATTCCTCCTGTATCTTCCCAGTGTGAGAGTTCTGGAAGGAGTTGGCTACCTGTTTGGTCTTTATTAGCCAGAACCTAAATCCTACATGAGCATATGAAGACTTGTACATGAACTAATGTACACAGCAGAGCCTTTCTTTCTTTCTCTCTCTCTCTCTCTCTCTCCCCTGTTGTTAATGTGAGAGTCTTGACATGGTATTTAAAACAGAGTAATAATAGTGAAATTTAACAAAATGCAATGATTTAGATGCTAATGTTTACATTTCCTTCTCTAACCTAGGTTAGAGTACAGTATAAATACATTTTAAATGAGGTCTGACTGGAAGACTTATGTTATATACTTGTTGGTAAAGGCAGGTTGATGGTGAGAATGAATTTGCTAAGCTTTCCGCTATCTACTATGCCTCTGAGGAGTGCCCATTAATAATATTAATATGTAGGTATTTCCCAGCAATATGGGCAAGATGCTTGTTAGAACTTTGAAGCTAAAGTCTTTTTTAACAGACCTTTTAAATTTAATCCATTAGCAACTTGGCAAAATAAAGTAATTGTCCAACAGAGGAAGGAAAAAAAATCTATTAACATTTGCTACAAATCCTAGTACAGGCAGCACTTAATTAATGGAACAGATTTCTCGCTATGTATTCAAGCTAACATAGTCATTGTTCAGGAGAGATTAGACCCTTAATGTAAGTAAGTTAAACTAGAGCTTCATCTAAAAATATCCGTCATTTCAGCTATTAAAGGACTGATGTCTTCTTCGGTGACAGATATATTTTCCTTCATTTCCTGGGTTTTGTAAAATGTAAAGTATGCATTGTGTGTAACGCGAGAAATCCACGGAGGTAGATGAAACCTAGATTGTGCCTCTCTGACTGTCTCCCTCTGCTTGCTCCTTTGTGCTGTTCTGTATCATAGAGCCTCTTCAGCCATAGACCTCCTGGCACCAGAGTGAAAAAAACAGCAACTGCCATTTGTCAGGGTATGATGCCAGCCACCTAATCTGTTTGCAAAATGAGGGCCATGGGATCTGATTAAGTAATTTAGATACCTTGCAAGTTTAATAATACCTGAGCTGCATTTGGACGGCAGCCCATGATTTCACTTGTAGGAACTGCCACTTTCTTTCAGCTCTGCTGCTTACTCTTCTTGCATATAATACCTCGTTTGAATCTGAATGGGTGTTGAGACTGGAGACAAGTAAAGTTTTTGCCTCTCCTCCCCTTGCCTCTCCCCCCCCCCCCCCCCGCCCCCCCCCCCCCCCTCAGCTCTCCTCCACCTTCTGCCTCTCTCTCCGTCTCTCTCCTTCTCTTCTCCCCCTCTTGCCTCTCACTCTCTCCCCCATCTGCTGTTCTTTATACTTTGTGTGGCTCCATTATCCTTTTTTTAATCATTTTTACTTGAAATCAAAATTTTCCAATGTGGGTGCTTAAATTTAGGCAGTGGCCTGCATGAATGGCCTGATTTCGAAAGGTGCTGCGCACTTCAGGCTCTCATTGGGTTCTGTGAGAGTCCCAGATGCTTTGCTCATTTGGAATTATAATTGTTCTACAACTCTGAAATTCAAACAACTTACTGTCCCTGTTGTTTGATGTTAAATATTGTGATTGTACCCAGAGGCCTCGCTCATTGTGCTAAATTCTGTATAAATATAGAGGAAAGGTTCCTGAGTATGGAATGAGATAACCAGCTTCTGACATGCAAGAGAGAAAATGTTGACTACTTTTGTCATGTTTTAACCCCCCAAATTAGATATTTTTTTAATTAAAATGTCTTGTAAAAGTAATAACTTTTCTCATTTGTAATTAATAAAAAGGGGCCTTTCTGAGTGGTTTTGAATTTAAATATCTTTCTAATAGCAACAATGTTTCAGTAGCAGCAACATAATACTAGTGATGAGACTAAGAAAGGGAAACTGAGTAGTAACCAAAGTAAAACTAAACTGCATAGCTTCCTTGTCCAAATTGAGTGCCCTCTGAAAAGTAATCCGTCTCCCTGGAGAAGTACAGGAAGCACTTTAAGTTAGGGATTGCAATGAGATTGGTCAAAAAATTGGAAATGCATAAAAGGGAACATATCCTATATATGCAGGGAGCTACACTGGATCAGCTAATATTGCAATGGAAAAAACATTATTGCTGCTATTTTCAGCATTCAAAATGTGCTAGGCACTTTCCAAATGTAAAAGAAGGTACTTTCTATTAAATGATGAATTTATTTCATTTTTAATGCTGACAGGTTGTCACAATGCAAATAAATACTTTTAAAAACGTTTTTTATGTGGACAGCTCTTGGTTTTGGTTTTATAAAAATCAGCAACAACAAAAACAATTATGCGGTGTTGTGGAAGCATATAGTATGTCACGTTTTACTGCAGGGGTCTCAAACGCACCTTAGTTTAGTGCCAGTCCTCAAATCTTTCTAATAGGCCTCTGGCAGAGTTCTGGGGTGGGTGGTGGGAGCTCTTTGCATGTTCCTCCCCCTGGACCCTGCTTTGCTGCCCTTGGGTAATTTAAAAGCCCCTAGGATTCTTGCTACCCCTACCAGCATCATAATGGGGCTAGAGTAGCTTCTGGCTGCTAGCTCCATGCCACTGCTGGCACAACCTTGTGTCCCGGGATAGGTGTGTGCAGACCCATCCAGTGCAGAGGATGGTTCCGGGTGGCTGCCCCAGGCCCCCTACTTTGGAGGGCCCTCGTGGCAGTTGTCCCAACTGTCCTATGGTTTCCCTACTCAGGTTAGCCTGCAGGGTCCTGGGTGGGCTGGGGCCAGCAGCAGTGGTTGTGGCTCCCCTGTACTCACTGTGGTGGTGGGAGCCACGAGGAAATGGCAGTGGAGCAGAGCAGAGGCTGCTGGCTTACTCTGCTTTTCCGTGGCTCCTGCCGCTACATTGAGTTTGGGGGAGCACCACCCTTACTGCCACCCACACCAGGCCCTCAGATAATCCCTGAGGCCGCATACTTTGGGAGAGGGAGTTTGAAGGAGGGGGGTAAATTGGGGGGAGAGAATGGAGTAGGGCAGGAAGAGGCAGGGTGGAGCGGAGCCAGGGCTGGGCTTAGGGAAGGATACAGACACATACACACACCAGGGCCACAGTTCTCTCTAAGGGGCACACCTGCGCAGGCATGTGCCTACAATTTTGATTCCTGCTCACCTTAGCAGAACCGTGCAGTAGCTGCTCTGGGGTGGGGCTGCATAGTGGGCGGCTGCCCCACTCCAGGAGCAGCTGGGCAGCCACCACACAGCCTTGGAGCTAGCTTCAGCCGTTCTCCAAGGCTGGAGCTGTGGCCAGAGCAAGCCATGTGGTGGCTGCTGAAGCTGGAGTCTGGAACACGGTATTAAAAATAGCACCATGGCCCTGGCCCAGGAGCAGCTGCACCACAGCCTCAGCTCCATTCTTGACACATGGGGCAGCTGCACAATCCCTGATCCAGTAGCTGCTGTGCAGTCCCAGCTCCAGCTGCTCCCAGGGCAGGGCCTCGTGGCGGACGGCTGCCCCATGTGCCAGGACTGGAGCCAGGCAATGGTACAGCTGCTCCTGGGGCAGGGCCAGGGTACTAAAAATAGCACCAAGATCCTGGCTCCAGGCCCAGGTGGAGTAGAGACAAATGCCAGGGGTCCAAGAGGAGATAACAAGGGGAAAGGGCAGACAGAGCTGGGGGAGGAAGGGGTCAGTGGGGGTGGGAGAAAGGAGGGGACAGAGCGATC